TTTTTTTTTTTTTTTTTTCCATGTACTCTGGTTTTTCATTCTCCAAAATCCAAAGTTCTTACTTGATTTTTCCCCAAGATTAAGAAAAGAAAAGAAAATAGCAGGATTACTTTCCAGCTTACAAGTAATCCTATTCGTTTCATCCATCAACTTCAGGCAAGTAATTGATCGAAGAAATATAACGAACTAAACGAGCTTTTTTATATGTATAGGAACTGACAATGAGAAACTGTTAAACTAGAGATGCAGCAAATGGCCCTCAAAATATAAGCAAAGAAACATAGTTAAACTAAACATAGTAAATCATTGCTGGTTCAACTAGCAGAAAGTCTACTTATGGTCCTAAGCAGAGATTTCAACTAAAGACTGGCTTTGACAAAAAGGCCAACCAAGGAAGAGATAATGTCAAAACTGAAGCTAGCCAGATATATCCACATAAATGGAACACTGATGAGTGATGATGGTGGAACGTTTAAGCCTTCTTATCTTTCATAAACATTTTTATGTGTGGTCCTATGATCGGTGGTTAAGTTGTATCGTGGGTTAATTAGGATCCCTCCACCATTAACCAGAAGCCTTCGATTTGAGTCCTGAAAATGAAGAACTACTTGGTACGAGGTACTTTACCTTCTTTAGTGGAGATATTGGGCACAAATCCGGATTAATAGGGCAGTGATTTTCGGATACTGAATGCCTTAAAAAGAAGAAACTCTTGAAGATATATAGCATTTATAAACAAGTACACTAAGAAACAAGATTGCCGGTGATTATTCCACGAGGAATAAGGTTGAAGTTCTATGTGAAGAGTACTAAGGTATTATACATTAGGATACAATTAGCAAAGGGCAGCCCGGTGCACTAAGCTCCCGCTATGCGAGGTCCGGGGAAGGGCCGGACCACAAAGATTTATTGTACGCAGCCTTACCCTGCATTTCTGCAAGAGGCTGTTCCCTAGCTAGTGCTTCTTGTTTAGCCGGGACCAGTACTCATCCTCCATTGCCTCCACTTGCTTTGTGGCCTTAACTTTCTGTTCAATAAAGGCCTTAAGTTGTTGGGGGTTATAAGGTGGTGGAAGTGTACATGGTTCAGTATAACTTGGAGACTTCTCTAACGCTTCTTCCATAAACTTCCTCCAAATACCATCGGAAGGACATGCCAATGATTCTGAACATATTTCAATTGCATTTGGAGGAACGATTGGATCAAACTTCTGCAGTTTCGCGTATTCATTCAGCAGATGGTATATGTAATCAAAAACTCGTTCCATCTTCATGTCTTCGTGAATAAAATCACTTCCTGCTTTCCCTATGGCTTGTGCCTGATATTCTCAAATCAAAAAACAAAAAAGTTGTAAATAAACAAACTGAATTGGAAAAGCATACTAATGTTGCCTGACTATTAGACTCAGCTCTCTTCTGCTAAAGCTCGAGTAGTTTCTTGAAAACTTTACGCATTCAATACAGATTCTACTCTATTAAGTCATAGGCCTTGAAGTTATCTCAGTTTCAGATACACCCCTTGTATATCTCTTCAAGAGTTATATCTAATCAGTTTGTTATAATATGTATTTTTAAATTCAGTCGCCGAATCGGTTTCATTATCACTTTCATACTCCAAATATAGAATATCTTTTTCTCTTGTTTTATTTTTGTAAAAACTTTGTAAAACATATTCAGATAGCGTTTGCATAGTTTATGAATTCTGCTTAGCGTTTACCTAAACACTTGAATTTCTCAGAATCAGACCATGTCTTGTGATGAAAGGGGAGAAAGGACAAATTACTTTTTGATATGTGATAGAGAAAAACTATACAACAACAACAACTTTCCCAGTATATTCTCATACTTGGGGTCTGGGGAGGGTAATGTGTACGCGGACCTTACCCTACCTAGTGAAGGTAGAGAGGCTGTTTCCAATAGACTCTGATAGAGAAAATAAGTATATATATATGACGGACGTGGAAAATAAGTGTGAGGGAAATTGAAGGTATACCTTATCGGTGTGATTGTTTCCCCATTGAACAGCAAACTTCAAAGACTTGCATTTATCAGTATCTCTAATGGGCCAGTAATGCTGCTGTGGGATCATCCCTCTCATGAAGAAATCATAGTAACGTGGTGTTATGTATAATGTCGGAGAATCACAGGCAAATATGTACTTCTCACTCACAGACCATGCCCATCCTTCTACATATATCTTGAATCTAACAATTTTGCACCAATTTTCAAATTTCAATCCTCCCCAAAAGCATATTTAATTAGCTAAACAAAAAGATTAAGTCTCTGTAATATCATTAACCTGTGTGTGCATTGGTCTTCAATATTTGATTCCTTGTACCCCTTTTTGGATTGATCAACCCAATCCTGAGATTAATTATCATTTGAAGACACATTAAAGATCATGTTATTATGTAAATGTGTGTTGACGATTGCAGTAATAGTAGGAAAAAAAATACCTGGATATATAGGAGAGTATCCCAATTCTGTTTTGGAGTAACATTACACTTCATAAGGTCTTTCCTAATTGGAGAAACATTAGGATTTCCCCTCCAATAAGCAAAAGGTATCCTCTCCTTCCAACTGCTTCTCTTATTCCCTTCTTTTATGTTCTTCACCATACTTCTCCATGGCCTTATATTTGTCTCTGCCCTATAAACAATAAATCAAACACAATCATCTTTTATAACTAGTTAATTTGGAGGTGGAGGAAGCAGCATCGGAGTCAGAATTTTAACTTTATGGTTCTAGATTCTAGAACGATGACTTCAAGTGCTAATAATTAGTTCTAAATTTTCTGTGTACGTACTTAATGAATTTCTTAACACAAATACATTGTTTGAGCAAAATTTATTGACCCTCGGAGGGAGTACGGTCTGAGCCGAGGGTCTATAGGAAACAGCCTTTCTATCTTCACAAGGTAAGGATAAAGCTGCGTACACACTATTTTACCTAGACTCCACTTGTGAGATTACACTGGATTTGTTATTGTTAGGAGGGAGTACGACCGGATGGAACTCAAAAATAAACTTTTGACCTAAGTCATAGTAAACTCTCTTTTTCTTTCTTTTGCAAAGATAAAATAATATAATTCCTAAAATTTCAGACCATTTAAAGAGCAATAGTAGAAAATATTTGCTCGCACACAATATTTCGTCAACTTTCGGTGAATAAATGGAAGAAATAAAATGTTATGAAATGCATGTTAGTACCAAAAAAACATTAAGGATATGAAAGAAAGTTAATTACCATCCCCAAAATGACCAATCAGGGAAAACAATATCCATACTCCGCCAATCTGAACAGTACCGGAACAACGGTGGTGGACCGGAGTTAGGTTGCCGGAAGTCTTTGGCGGCGATGACCGGCCGATCATTAGTGTCAAACATGATCTCCAAATTAGGCAATTTCCCAGGGTACCACCTTAGAAGTTGTACAATACCATACATTGTGAATAAATGTCTAGTTTGAATAGAGTATTTTTCATATCGTTCAATATAAATTTTCCCATCTAATATTACTAATCTAAAATTAGCATGTTTTTTGGCTTTCTCTAACATTTCCCTAGTAATTCCTGTGTTTTTCCAATGCCTTAAATCTTCATAAATCCATCTAAAATATTCAGGACATGTTAAGTTGTTAGGATTTAAGGGTTTATAGGACGTAGGATAGGTTTTTGGACATGTATTGGTCTTGTTCCATGCATTGCAATCCAGAGAATATTCGAAAGTCTGAGGCTTGATTTTTGAGTTTGCTACTTTTCTATGGAAATGACCTGAGTACTTTGCCTGTGAAAATTTAAAGAAGAAAATGTCAATTAATTATTCTAAGCATGAGAATCAAATGGTAAATTACTAACAAGTCAACCAATTCAAGTAGGAGAATCAAAGAGTGATTTGAAAAATAAGGCAGTTATCTTCATATGTTAGCAAGTTCTTTCGGTGTATATTGTTAGTCCCACCAATATTGCTGTATATGTAAATAATAATTCTGCAAAATATAAGTTATCGTAATGAAACAGTAATTAGTTCGAGCCCACTAAATTCACAGTGTTTCCTTAAGGAATTTAATCCCCTCCTAGTACCCAAGGTAATGGATTATTTCCTCCCAGGATAGAACGAATCACACACTGGTGTAGCGGTACTTCAAACCCCAGTGTTTCAGCGAACACAAAGTTCGGTAGCAAATCACACTTACAGTTGCTTTGTTTGAAGTTAAAAAACAATGCAGAACGAAGGAGTAGAAACTCAGAAAATCGTATGGAAATGCTGAGAGGAAGGAGTGCAATGTATAGCCAAATCTGTTNGGTGTAGCGGTACTTCAAACCCCAGTGTTTCAGCGAACACAAAGTTCGGTAGCAAATCACACTTACAGTTGCTTTGTTTGAAGTTAAAAAACAATGCAGAACGAAGGAGTAGAAACTCAGAAAATCGTATGGAAATGCTGAGAGGAAGGAGTGCAATGCAGCTGAAGCACATATATATAGCAGCCAGTGTTGAAGAAGAACAATCGTCCACCCTCCATGGTGGAGCAAGCACATTCATGGTTGGAAGAGCATTAGGCGGCTGCCTTGTGGTCAATACACGGATTGGAAAATATCCGTTACAAATGCGGATAATCAATCCGAAGCCGAGCGAGCGACGACGACGGCGCGAGGCTTGCTTTCTTCTTAACTCTTTAAGAGCTACAAGAAGAGCAATTATATATATACCCACCAAAAATCTTTTCCTCTTCCAATATGGGACAATGTCTCATTGTCAAGAGGGGGAAACTTAAAATTTTACTCAAAAATTTCATTTTCCCTCCATTTCTCATCCACCCTCATTTTAAGATTATTTCATCTTAAAAACAAAAACCTCAAAATATATAAGTAAATTTTCTAGTGTACAATTGCAACCAAGCCGTTCACTAAAAGAAGAAAAATTTAATTCACAAATATTTAGTCACGTATGGAGCTATTACATAAATTGTGCAGAAAAATGTACCAACTACCAACCAATATTACAAAGAGTACTTATTAAAACTGTTATAAATTTTTCTTCTTAATTTCTACTACTTTGTAGTCAAATGTAGGAGTAATATACATTTATCATTTATTGCGATGTAAGTGGAGTATTCTCTTTTCTAGAGCAATTCCCTCCGTTCATTTTTACTTGTCCACTATATATACTAAAAATATATTTTCACTTTTACTTGTCTACTATACTAAACATATATTTTTACTTTTACTTGTCCACTATACTAAATCAAGAGAAAGACAATCTTTTTCCTGTTTTACCCTTATTATTAACTACTTATTCCCCAAATCATTTTCCAAGATTTTTGGAAATTATACCATTATTATGGGTAAAATTGTAAAATATATACTTCATTTATTTTTTCCTTAAAGAGGATGCAAAGTCAAAAGTAGACAATTAAAAGTGAACGGTGAGGTGACAGCAATAATGGTCGAGTGTCAGAATGCTCGTAGTTTACAAGAGATTAGTAAATGACTCTAAAATTCATGGATGGTAAAACTAAATTAAAATGACTTGAGATAATCCCCCAAGAACAAGCTGCAATTAAGTTACTTGCAACTAGAGCAAATTCGGACAGAGATGTTACAATATTAAAATTATTAAATTCCAGGAAAGTAATACTCGTTGAGAGAGTATTGTGTTTGAAAAATTTTCATGGACTACATTATTTTCTTTTTTACCAAAAACCATCTTAGAAGAGATCGATACTCTATGTGTTTGTGTCCATCGTGTTTTGCGATAAAATATTTGCCTAAGAACCATTTACTTAGAAGTGAATTTTATCCAGGTGACAACACCTAGCTAGCTAGTACTTGTAGCTACCTTATAAATGACATGACTATATAATATTTTTACGCTATTAAACTCTTTTACGTACGATATTATGTTTTAATTAGCCGATGTATTAATTTTATGGTAAACCGTAAATGCATGGGAAAGTGATGACTAGGGGTGGCAAAATGGTTAAAAGAAAATAATTATTCATCCGTATTATTCATTAAAAAATTGGTTGGATAATGAACTTTTAAAAACAGGTCAAATATGGATAAGGACCATATTTTTCACTTAGAAAATGGATAATCAATGGATAACTAATGAGTTTAACTTTTATATTTATAAAGCCCCAAATTGGGGGTTCCTCAAGTTGGAAGACTAGGAACTCTCCAAAAAGTGATTATATTCAAGAAGTCATGGCTAACGTGGATATCCATATTATCCGCCAGTCGGGCGTACGCAAAAAAAATTTTGTAAGTGATGCCGCATTTACATAAATAAAAATATATTATTTAATATCATTTTCTCACAAGTTGAAAGCCTTGGTCTAATGAGTTAGTTGAATATTACCGGAAAGGGAGGTGTAAGTTTAGTTCTCCTTAGCCTCAAATTTTTAACAAAAATGCTCGCTCAAACATTTTCAAAAAATAGGATGTCTAGGTCCAGATTCTAACCTACAACCTTTATAAGTCCAAATACAAGCTTCTGACCAAGAAGTACTCTCTACTAGAAAGGTGTCATTACTATATTATTTTTGCAGAATATTAATATAAATATTTAATATTTTTTTCGGGCGAAGCGGATGATACCCGCTTCCACCCATGTGCATCCGCCCCTGCCGCTGGTTAACCCGTTTTTTATCCGTATTAAATATGAGTAGGATCGATAATTTATCCGTTTTTTGCATTACACATTTTCGACCCGTCCATATCCGACCCGACCCGACACGGCCGTTTGCCACCCTAATGATGACACTGAAAGAGTTTAAACGTAAATGAGAGTAAGAATATTGACTTACAAGATCAATCCAACCTGCAAACGACAATGCTGAAGCAATGACGAGAAGGAAGAAAATTAGGAACGCTGTGACAAAGGTAGTTGCTGTTGCTGATCTCTTCATCAGATATTTCCATCTTGCTGAATTCTTCTGCAACTCATAAGTCCTTAGCCAGAAAACATTCATCAACTTCTCCTTCCTGATCTCTTTCATGTTTCCTCCTCCTCCTCAAAAATCCAATTGCCAATTTATACTTAATGTTATAAACTAACCTAGAAAAATCACACTTGAGTTTAATAACAAACTTGGAAGTATCCGTTTTCTAACAAACTTGGAGAAGTATCCGTTTTCTGCTAATTTATTTTCTTCACACAAAAAATTTCAAAGGAAATCTCACTTTTCACATCCCATGAAATATGGAAACAGATAGTCTTTTTGGTGTGTGTGTGTGTGTGTTGGGAAAGGGGAGGAAAGAGCTGTATTAACGAGAAGTACTGTGTTTATTGTAGTAAAAAAGTAACATACTCCAATTGATGGCGCTAATGTATTAAGAACTGGAATATTGAAGAGAATTAAATAGTTTAAACGTGAATAGTAGTAGTATCTTTCTCTCTCTTGTTTAGGCTGAGATTTTGTCAAGTAAATCGAAGTTGAAACTGATTGAGAATTCATGCTTGTTTCTTTTTGTGGAAATGTCAATACATTCCAATTCTAAGTTGATCTCCAATCTGATGCTCTCTCGGCCCTTTATGTACGTAATAATTCTTGTCCAATAAAAGTCCATGCTAAACTAATTCAATCTACTGCTAAAATATTCATAAAGTAATTTACTCGAAAGTATATATGCTGCCAGGATTTTCATTTTTATTTTAATTTTTAATTTTTTGAGATAAGGTAAGATAGTAGAATATATACTGTCAGGATTGACTATTCATTCTGCATTTACCCCCTTATAACAAACAAATATCATAATTTGGAAAATGTAATTTGATTGGACTTATATGACCGGAGAACGAGAGCCGAGACTCATAATACTGCGCGCAGTGTTGGTTGTTTGAGATTAGGAAGTAGGATCACCTTATAGTTTAAGGCTTTTTTTTTCCTTTCACATAATTAAGATGGAGTAAAAAAACTGATTGGACGACAATCAAACTTATGACACACTACTGTTCGAATTTTCTTGCTTCAGATTTTATTAATCAAGGCTTGGTCTGACTTAATCATCTCTTATGCTTCAATTCTTCGCATTGCATGGTGATGAAATTTCTATTAACAAAGAAAAACTGACCTTATTCAAATACCCAACTTAGAGAAATCCAGAGTATGCGGCAGCAAAGCATAGAGTCAAAGCAATAACATCATTTAAATAAGCTGATATTATAGACTAATTAATCCTTCATCCACATGCAAAGCTACCACAAATTACACTTCACGAACACAGAAACTATTCTAAAAGAGAGGCAAAAAGGGATGTAAACAGATGAAATATTACCTAGCTATATAAAGTTGTTTGAATCATTTACTTTTCTAAATGCCCATGATTATCTTGTGAGATTAACAAGTATGAAGCCATGCTTCACTGCAAAGGTGACTAACGTGACTTGATTTGGGGCTGGACTAATCAACTACAATCTAAATGATATAACTGTTAACGAAGGGTGTAGAACCTTGTGAATGCTCTAAGAAGATAATTACAGTAAAATCACATTAGTTTTGTGTCTTAAGTGAGAATACAGCATAATGTTAATTAGCATGAAACTAGAGAGTAACATGTGACTGAAACCCA